AGTATTATATGTCCAAGAGAGGAAAGTCCAGACAATTCAGTAATCCAACTGCCTAATAAGAAAACCCTGAATACTCACATCAAACTTTGGAGACCTCACAATTTTGGATCACAATGACCGTTTGCGGCCTAATGGTAGAACATGCTTAAGATTCTTTCAACATAGATGTGGTAGAGCATACTTGGTGGTTATCTGCAACTCTGTGCAAGACAGGATTTTCTGGCTAAGAGGACAGATAACATTATGTCCAATATGGGCAGTCCTCAACTTACAACCATTCATTTAGTGACCGTTTGAAGTTACAACAGCACTGAAAAAGTGACTTATGACCATTCTTCCCAACTGTTGCAGCATCCCCATGATCAAAATTTGGATGGCAAGAAATTTTGGCAAGAAAGGTTATAAAATGGAGCAAAACTCACTTAACAACTGTCTTGCTTAGCAACTGAAGTTTGGGACTCAATTATGGTCATAAGCAGAGGACTACCTGTATTTCAAGGGAACACAACATTATCCTAGTGCTATATTATCTCCACTAGCAGGCATGATAATTTTCAGATGTAGCAATTTTAAAATCCAAAAAACGTTTCATTTATTTTCAGAGTTTTTTTGCCATCACACCTCCCCTTTAGTATCTTAATGTAGATGCTGTCCATAAAAAGAGGGCACAATGAATAATGAAAACTTTATACCATGAAACTTTAGGAAAGGTGAATTTATTGTAATGATTTATTGTAATTTGGAAAACCCTAGTCTATTCTGTACCCTAATTCCCATTTTGGTGAACATCTGTATAAGGACTGTACCACTTTAACTGTGGATGGATTCTGAATATGGCTCTTCTAGACGCTTATATTAGTTTGCCTGCAGAATCTCACACTTGTTGGCAGTTTTCACAAAATGAGGGTTTCCATTTCTATGTAATATTTTTTGTTTCTCTTATCTTTAAACCTAAACAATTACCAGCATTGTTCATTAAGCCATGTTTCTGCAGACAAAGGGAAGAGATGAGCTGCAGAGTATTAAAGGGATTCACAATGGCCCCTCCTCCTCCACTTCTTTGCTTTAGATTAACTATTTCATTTCCAGACAAAATCAGGGCATATATAGAAGCTGCAATCTCCTTTCTATCTCCTGGTAATAGTGCAGACACAGTTAAGAACTGATCTTCCTTTGTCCCCTTCTCCCCATTTACTAACATTTAACTAAGTATCTTGAATCTTTTCTATTTAAGCTGATGAGAATCTTTTTGATTGCAGTGGCAAAAATATCCTTTTGCAATAAATAAACATGCCACTGAAGTTACAACTAAAAAGATAAATGCTAGGAACTCATAGCTTCTCCATGTAGGTTTTCTACTGCATCACCATGGTGATGGATTTGCAGTGTTCAAGAAGCTTCATTTTCATTTTTTTTATAATCAATGTTGTATCTCCCAAAATACAGCCTGGCAGAGAGGATTTTTTTTTTTTGGTTAACCACATGACAAATGAATCATATGTTGGGGAGGGGAGAATTAGTTAGCAAAATAATTTACTTTTTTTCTTATTTTTTCAGTTATAACTGAACACAAACAGTTTTGAAAAATAATTTTTTATCACTTGCAGAATTTTGTTTTTTTCATGGAGGGAGACAGAGTAAACAATATGGGTTTAAAAGGGTTGCAACTCTCCTTTAAACTAGCTCAGATTATCGTCTGGAAGTTCAGGTGTTTCTAGTCTTCAAATTAAAAAAAAACAGGACATGCAGACATTCGGCCTTTGAAAAGCCTCTACTACTGTTTTTCAGTTGGTTTATGCAATGAACTCAGATTACCTTGACAATGGGTATATCTATAACTATACTAATTCATAATTTGTTTTAATTATGAGCTGATGAATAAGCCATGATACCCTGTTTGTACATAATGACGAAGCAAACTTCCTACTTCATCTTAATTTACATTCCTAAGGAAAGATTGCAAAAAACCAGATTTAGTGGTAATTGCAGATAAAGCCAAAATTAACAGATAGCTCCAATTCTGTAACAGGAATGAATATATGTCCTTTCTAGATTTAAGTTTTATTTCATGCCTATTTTTCCATTTAATTTGTAAGCTACTGTATTTTAAAATGTGTCTTCTACTTCATTTTATGTTTGAGAGCTCAATCTCCAATATGGCTTCTATTTAGCTTTCAATTTTTAATTATGAAAAATGGACAGAAAACTATAACACATCTATTTATTCTTTATAAGGAACAGGAGGTAGGATATAATCTCTTACAAGCCAAAAGGAATAAAACATGAGATCAAGCCAAACTGAGATTTGTTGCAATTGTGCCCATAGATACTTGAGATTAAATTTTATTTAAACATGTTTTGATAATTTTTAAATGGATTTGTGTATGGCATTGCTACAATTCTATTCAAACTTACAGGTAGGTAAGCCCCAATGAACTTAGCAATATGTACTGTGCATTTATTTATATTTAATTTATATTCTATCTTTGTACTTAATATAAAATTATTGGACAATGTCTTTGCATTGTTGACCATATAGAAAATAAAACATTACAGGTTATAAATGAGATGCAAGTAATCTTTTTCTCCTATTTTAAATTTATAGCTCATCTTCATCTATATCCAGTGCCTCCAAGATAAATTTCTGGTCTCATATAATATACATCGCACAAACTAGGAAAGCTAATTTTAAAATATTAATCGTACAGATAGTTCTTGACTCGCAACTGCAATTAGGGGCAGAATTTCTAGCATAAATTGTAATGATTGCAAGTCAAGGCATCTACATGACCAAACTCAATTTTACAACTGTTTTTACAGCTGTTGTTAAGCAAATCATGTGGTTATAAGTCCAAGTCCATTTCCCAAATGGATGGGTTTTTTTTGCAAATCCTGGGCATGTGATCATGGGATACTGCAACCAGTCGTAAACGTAAGCTAGTTGCCAAGTGCCCGAAATGTGGTAATATGACCCTGGGGGAGGGGGGTTGGCACCATTTTACAATGGCCCAAAGTATTTTATGAGCCAAGGCTATGTAACTCCAAATGGTTGTTAAATGATCTCGTAAGTCAGGGCCTACCTGTATAGGCTAATGATTAAGCCAACCCTACCTGCATGTGATGCGTACCTATCTCTCTGCAGTCCTATTAGACAGCCTATTTAAGGGATAGTTTGATCTGTGATTTGTTGTTATGTCTATGCCTGTCTATCTACCTGACATTCTATGTAAGTTGCTACTTCTTATGCCAGTAGGCCAGCAGCTATAAAGCAGTAAATGAGAACTTGTGTTTGCTGTCAAGGATTCAGGAAAAAAGCTATGGCAATATTATATGACCTCTTCAGATAATATCAGAATTTGAGTTCTGCTAACAGGTGTCTTTTTATTACAAAATAAGTATCATTTGCTGGCTTCAGGAAAAGCACAGAAGAAAGTTCCACCAAAACCACAACTTTAATCATGCATGTTTTGCTTAGTTATACCTAAAATAGCTTTCTTTGTGTGTCTTACATTTGTACACACAAGGACTTCATTTAGGAGTAAAATAAGCCCAGTATTCCACTGTGTGAGTTCATCTGCAGCCTGAGCTGGACACAGGCTGACTATCTGAGTGAGAAAATTTCCTTTGTGCTAAAAGGGCCTCCAGGCCCACCTCCTTACTAATTAGCCAGACATAGGGAGGCATTTTTGGTGGCAGTTCCGTATCTATAAAATGCCCTTTCTCCTCTCTATACAGCCATGTTTTGCACACCCATCTTGGGGCAACAAAGGAAAATAGGTCCTTTTAAATACAGAGTTATTACATGCTATTCAGACTTCACATTTTATGGACTTCAACCAGTGGTGGGATTCAAATATGTGAACAACTGGTTCTCTGTGTGGATGCCACTTCCGGAAGTCCATTCTGGGCCTGGGCAACAAAAAATTAGCTACCGGTTCTGCCGAAGTGGTGCGAACTGGCTGAATCCCACCACTGACTTCAACCCTCTAATGATTCCATAGGAAGGCTGACAAGCATCCTGTGAGAATGAAAGTAGTCATGGATCTGGAGCTATTGGTTTATTCAAGATTCTCTGATCTTCCTTCCCTGAGATGATGTCTCTTCCTGGCAGTTTTGATTCCTAGGAAACTCAATAGTTGAGCACCACAGTGACATTTTAAAGGAGGCCAAAAGGCAACTTGTCAAGTTACTTTAAACATAATTGCAGTGAAGCCTAATGGCTGGATGACTTTGGGCCAGTCACTCTCTCCCAGACTCCTATCTCACAAGGTTGTTGTTGTGAGGAAAATAGGAGGAGGAAAGAGAATTATATATGTTCACTGACTTGAGTTATTTCTATAAAAAAATAATAAAGCTGGGATAAAAATAAATATTCTCTGGCAGTGGCTGCTGTTTGTTCTATTATATTTCTTAGAATTGGTGGTTGATACCATTTCTACTTCTATGATTACTCATATTTTTCATATGCTGTTTATGTGATTCATCCATACTCTCACAAGATAAAAGAAAGTGGCATATGTCATTCATTAAGACCCTGTCTTAGGAAAAAGTAAAATGTTGCAGAAAGTTCCCTTTATATTTTTTGGAAAACCACCCAAGCAAAACAGCCTCCAGAATTCTTCCAATTACTATTTAGTCCATTTGCTTGTACAGTGTACATATAATATCTGTACATAGAGCTGCTTTTTCATGATTTCTGGAACTGCCCATCCTTTTTAAATTAAATATGAGCTTAATCAAGGCTTGTTTATACAAAGACCTAAATGATTAACATGAATCTGAGTTAGCACAAGGCAACTGCATGAATTCCCCACCATCATACAATATAAGAAATAACAAAAAACAGGATATAGGAAGTCAACAGGAATTCAAATTCTAAATTATACTGTTGCAATATGCACCATAGAAAGAGAATGGAAGAAAAAGAACAAGCTTCACAGACACTGACATATTTCAGGAAGGGAAAAAAAGCTATCATTAAGCTAATTCAGGCTCAGAACTGAGATTTCCAGACATGGATGGAAAACGACAAACATACATTACCTCAGAGGGCACTAGCAGCCTGTTACTAGTACTTATCTGGTTGTACATTGCAGGATCACATCTTGTGACAGTACTTTGATGGCTCCCTATAGTACTGGGAGCAAAAGGCATTTTGTATAGAAGATCACTCTGGCAAGAGTCAGTGGTAAGGACATGCTGGTAGAAATCTGGAGGAAAAAATCCACTCCGCACAGTGTCCACATGGTTGAAAGGTTCTGGGGTTCTATAAAGTTTGCTCCTGGAAGCCTTAAAGATATCCTTGGATTGCCTCCATTTGTAACATTTATAAGAGCCCACTCCAACCACTGTGACAAAGAAGGCAACAGATATCAGAATAATAGCAAGGATCAAGTAGAAAGTCAAGTGTTTCTTTGATTGTGGTGTAGTAGACACTACTGTAAAGTCTTTCAGTGTCTCCCTAGATGTCTCTGCTATTGTTACAATAAGGGTTGCAGTAGAGGACAATGCTGGTTCTCCGTGATCTTTTATTAAAATTATCAAAGTTTGCTTGCGAGAATCTTCTTCTTGTAGAGAGCGGGTCGTTGTTATCTCCCCAGAATACAAGCCCACAGCAAAGAGTCCTGGGTCAGTGGCTTCATGAAGTACATAGGAAAGCCAAGCATTATAACCAGCATCTGCATCCCAGGCCACCATTTTGGTAACCAGATATCCAGGACTGACTGTGAATGACATTACTTCTGAAAACAAAGAACTGTTACCTGAAGTTGGATATAAGACTCTGGGTACATTGTCATTTTGATCTGTGACAAAAATATTGATTGTAACGTTGGTGGCAAGGGGTGGAAATCCTCCATCACGGACTTGTACCACTAGCCTGAACTCCATTATGTTTTCATAATCCAAAAGTGCTAGGATATAAATAGTACCATTCTCCCGGTTAATAGAAAAAAATCTGCTAACCAGATCTCTGTCATGTTTCTCGTTTTCCAAGATAGAGTAAGAAAGACGGGAATTCCGGTCCAGATCTGGATCAGAGGCACTAATATTAAAAATAATAGCCCCTGGAAGGTTATTTTCCTCCACATACACATCATAGAAAGATTGTGGGAATGTAGGGGGGTTGTCATTTATATCAGACACTTTAACAAATATATTTTTTTTCTCCACGAGAGAGGGTGAGCCAGCATCCTGAGCAGTAATTGTGATATTGTACTCGGAAATAATTTCCCTGTCCAATGGTTCTTTCATTTGCAATGTATAGTAGTTTTTAAGTGAAGAGCTAAGGGCAAAAGGAGTGCCAAAAGGTATAAAGCAATTTACAAGGCCATTATCACCAGAGTCCTGATCTGTGACACTTAGCAAAGCAATTACTGTTCCTGGAGCTGCATCTTCTGGTACCGGGCTGTAAACTGATGTCACTGTGATTTCTGGGATGTTGTCATTGACATCAATAATTTCTACCAATATTTTACAATGTGTCTCTGCGGGATTGGTGCCTTTATCTTTTGCCTGGACATAAATCTCATAAAATTTGGTTTCTTCAAAATCCAGCAATCCATTGAGCCTCAGTTCTCCAGTATCAGAGTCTAAAGCAAAAAGCTGCCGAACTCTAGCAGGAGTGTGACTGCTGAAGGAGTAAATTATTTCTCCATTAGGGCCCTCATCCAGATCAAAAGCTCTTGTTCTGGCCACCAAAGTGTTTAAGGGTGTGTCCTCTCTCACACTGGCTTTATAAATAGATTGATTGAAGATAGGGGTATTGTCATTTGCATCTAGGACATCAATGAGTACTTGCAAGGTAGCAGATCTGGGTGGATTTCCTCCATCCAGAGCTGTGAGAATCAGTAGGATTTCTTTTTGCTGTTCCCTATCCAGTGTCTTCTCCAGCACCAACTCTGCATATTTTGTATTATCCCCTCCAGTCTGTACGTTCAATGCGTAGTGCTGATTGGAGCTGAGCTGGTAGGTCTGCAAAGAGTTAATTCCTACATCGGGGTCTTGTGAGCTCTCCAAAGGAAAACGTGCTCCAGGTGACACTGACTCGCTGATTTCCAGTCTCATTTGTTTGCTCAGGAAAACTGGGTCATTGTCGTTGATGTCTTGGATTTCCACAGCCACGCCATAGAGCTCCAGGGGGTTCTCCGCTATGATCTGCAGGCTTAGGACACAAGGAGAGAGAGTCGCACAAAGTTCCTCCCTGTCGATTCTCTCATTTACTAGCAACTTTCCAGTGTTGAGATCTGCTTCGAAGTATTTTCTGCTGCCTCCCGACACAACCCGGAGATTTCGAGCTTGTAACTGCTGGAGATCTAAGCCCAGGTCAAGCATTACGTTTCCTACCAACGAACTCTTCGGCATTTCCTCGGGAATTGTATAGCGAATGAATGCAAAAGCCCAATCCGAGACACCCAGCCAAAGCCCCAGTAATTGCAGCCATTGTGTTACCCATCGGTTCTTTCCAGCAGCGCCGTTCATCTCACGAGGGAGGGACAGCTCGTTGCTTTGCAAAGTTTCTCTGAGTTTTCCTTTAAAAGTTTTCAGCCGGCAGTTTCATGTTGCTGCAACTCTGCATCTTCCGGGCATTGGTTTTGAGGAGTTTTAGAGCCGGGCATTGTTTTCCTGATACACAACAGTGGGATTCTTTTCTTCTCCACTCCGTCTGCCGCTCGCTCGCTCTCGAACTCGGGCGACGTCCCAGTTCTCACAGTATTCCCAGCGAACATCGTTGGGTCAACAGCGGCGCGCAGAGTTCTGGCCAATAACTGCAGCAGCATCGCTCCCCGGCTTGGTGCCGCCGCCGCTTGTCCTGCGTGAGACGCCAGCATCTTGGTTTCCTGTTTCTGAGCCTGGGGGAACTAAATCCAAGCAGGACCTGTTGCAGATTAGTGACTGTAGTTGTTCGTGGGCGTAGACCGCAGGGAAAGAGGAGAATGTTTTTCTCTTCCTCTTCTCTGCTTGCCAGTAAATAGAAGCTTCCCCATGGTCCTCTGGAGAGGGAAGGGAGATGGGGAAAAGGAGCAGGGGGAAGTTGGCCGACAGGGCTTAATGTGTCCTTTCGTTTGCGTGCATGGCACCAAAACACAAAATAACTAATGGGGTGATCACACCAGCTATAATTGTAGGGCTATTAGATCCTTTTAAACTGCAGGGCCAGAGTGACTGGGTGGCAGCCAGACTGATAGGAACAGGGTAGGGTGCCCAGATAGATCTCCTCCAATAGAAAGGCCTTAGCCAAGTGGAAGCCACGTTGCATAATTTGAGCCAGAGATTATGCTTTCACTATTATAATGCTAAGCTCCATATTTTAACCAGTTTCATCAAACAATCTCCCAACTCAAGTGAATAATTTGGGAAAAGGATGCCCGCAAACTGCATACCTTCTGAGCTTGTCAAATTAACCTCTTTAGTGCAGATTGCAACAAATAAATTCTTCTATAAAAGTTAAAGATAGAACTTAAAAAGACAAATTTCTTTGGTTTGCCTGGTAAAAATATAAAATTGTCAACACCAGATTCTTGGCTTGGTCACTAATAATACAACTATGGCAAGAAAGGTCGTAGAATGGGGCAAAATTCACTTAACAACTGTCTTGCTTAGCAACATAAACTTTGGGCTCAATTGTGATTGTAAGTTGAGGACTATCTGTAATATTTTTCAGCCAGCCAATTCAAGCAGTAATTATGGTAGACAATTGCCATGGATTCATGAAAAAGTAGGTCAATCTCATTTTAGCATATAAATGAAAGTAGGAATATGTGCAATCTGGAATAACCTATAGTTTTCAAGGACAACGAAAAAGACCACTCTCCTCCTCTCAGGACATTTATACCCAATGTGTTTCTTGCCAAGAGTAAAGTTCAGTTCTTGGCCTAGCTGAGAACAGCAAAAAACTTCCAAATAAAAAGAATTGATTGATTGTGTGTGTGTGTGTGTGTCCTTTTATGCATTCCTTAATAACCAAGTATGAAAATGATTTTTCTTTCCCCAACAGCCCATATAGTTATGATTGCTTTTCATAATGATTATATGAGCTTCGAGGTAAAAGCCAGCAATATCTTCTCTCTGCCTCCAACTTTTGTGCTATCATACAGCTAGATCTCAGTAAGATATTAACAATATAGTAATATGAAACTGGATAATAGAAAGGTACAAATTTTGTATCAAGTAATACCGAGATATTTTATCTGCTATAGAGGAATGCTTTTTCACATAATGTATTTTAATGGACTTTAGCCATCAGAAAAACTGATCTCTTTATCTGCATATTTTGAGTAGACTAGTCCTCAACTAGCAAAAATTAGTTTCCAGTACATAGAAGAAGCTGAGAAAATCTGTTTAAGGCAGTATAATATTGTGCAGCCACCCCTCCCAATGTGCCAGCTTTAAGAGAATTGCGGATGCAGTACAGGTGGTTCTCTACTTGCAACCATAATTGAGTCCAAAAGTTCTGTTGCTAAGCAAGACAATTGTTAAGTAAGTTTTGTGCCATTTTACAACTTTTCTTGCCATAGTTGTTAAGTGAATCGCTGCAGTTGATAAGTTAGTAACACAGTTAAGTGAATATGGCTTCCCCATTGGCTTTGCTTGTCAGAAGGTCACAAAAACTGATCACGTGACCCCGGCTGCCAAGCACCCAAATTTTGTTCATGTCAGTTTTTCCAGTACTGTTATAACTTCAAATGGCCACTAAACGAATGGTCATAAATTGAGGACTACCTGGAAAGTATTTTCTAAATACAATAACTTTTTTAGGGAAAGAACTGTGACTGAGGAAGGGATTTTGGTAACGACTCCATCAGAAACACTTTTGGAGAAAATTAGACATTAATGACAATTTTGTGATTCCTTAAAGCAGGGGTCCTCAGCCTTGGCAACTTTAAGACTTGTGGACTTCAACTCCCAGAATTCCTCAGCCAGTAAGAACTGCAGTAAGAATTGTATTTGCCCAATATTGGAAAAATGAAAACTTACCAATGGAAGAAGAATTAATTAAGAAGATTTTAGATTGTGCAGAAATGGACAGATTGACATTAAAGATAAAAGAGAAAGAAGACTCATGTACTTTAGAACATGGGACAATTTTTATCAATGGCTAGAAAAACGAATTAGAAAGGAACGTGATATGTACTATGTAACATTGAATATATATTAGTAAGAAAAAGGCTATTGAGTGATTAACATGTTGATTATGATAATATAGAAATTAATTATTACTTTGTTTTTTAAATACATGAGCCCAGACAACATGCTGTTTGCTGAATATTAAAAATGTTATTTTAAAAAACCCTAACCCTAACCCTATAAAAATTAATAAAATATATAGAAAAGAAAAAGAATGGAGGATAATTTGAGGAAATAAAGGGGCCAATTATAGCATGTTAATTGATAACTAGACTAAAAAAGTCAAAGATAAATTTATGAATAAAGAAATTGATTTTCTTGTGTGAATGTCCCAGTGGCTGTAGTACAGGTGCAAAACAAATTAATTCCCTTTGTATCAGATAGCGTTACTTCAAAAAAGTTAGTCTTAGCTGCTTTGTTCCAAAAGCCAAAGATATAAGGAGAAAGAACTTGATATTCTTCCTGAGTGCAGATAGTGAAAGTATGAATATTTAGAGTTTTTTTCTGTTACTGAACCACACCCTCTTTTTAATATTGCTAATATTACCATTTGAAAAACTATGCTAATTAAAAAGCAACAGCAGCAATCTAAATTCACTGAAGAAATTTGAGATGACACCATGCAGATGACACCAAACTGACAGGAGTAGCCAACACTCCAGAAGACAAGCTCAGGATCCAAAAAGATTATGACAGACTTGAACAATGGGCCCTAGCCAACAAAATGAATTTTAATGTGGAGAAAAGCAAAGTTTTACATTTAGGCAGGAAAAACCAAAGGTACAAATACAGACTGGGTGAGACCTGGCTTAAAACCAGTAACTGTGAAAGGGACCTTGGAGTCCTAGTGGACAATCACTTGGCTATGAGCCAGCAGTGTGCAGCAGCAACCATATTACAGTCCTGGGTTGTATAAACAGAGGCATAGAATCAAGATCACACGAAGTATTAGCGCCACTTTATAAAACCCTAGTAAGACCACACCTGGAATACTGCAGCCAATTTTGGTCACCATATCACAAAAAAGATGTTGAGAGTTTGGAAAAAAAATTCAGAGAAAAGCAACAAAGATGATCAAAGGCCTGGAGACTAAACATACAAAGAACGGTTACAGGACTTGGGTTTGGCTAGTCTAAAGAAAAGAAGAAATAGGGGAGACATGGTAGTAGTGTTCCAGTATCTGTGGGCTTGCCACAAACAAGTGGGGGCTAGGTTGTCTACCAGAGCACCAGAGGGAAGGATGAGAAACAATGGTTGCAAACTGATCAAAGAGAGAAGCAATCTGGAATTAAGGAGAAACTTCCTGACAGTGAGGACAATCAACCAGTGGAACAGCTTACCCCCAGAAATTATGGGCGATCCATCACTGGAGATTTTCAAGAAGAGACTAGACATTCACCTGTCTGAGACGGTATAGGTTCTCCTGCTTGAGCAGGGGGTTGGACTAGAAGACCTCCAGAGTCCCTTCCGCTTTATTCTATGTTGTTTAATACAGTTTTGTTCCCAGAATTCTACTGAACTAGAGATATGTATAAATAAATTGGAAGAAATGTTCATTCATAAATCATTGTTATGTACACCAAATTTATTAAAATGAATTAGTAGATGTTAAATTCTTTATCAGCTATATAACTCCCAGTATCCAATACAATAAAGCCAAAACTCACATTTTTCCCAAACAGTCTGGAGATATAATTGTTTGCTAGCCTAGAGGTTTTCTTTGTTATTCTGCCTGAATCATTAGGTTTATCAGACAGAGCAGCCAAAATATAAGCTTTGAGTTAATTCTAATATATTTGAAAATTAGGAACTGGTTCTAGATTGACCATTCTACTACCTAATACCCAAATTGTAGAAAATATGGCAAATGATGATTTTTAAAACATACCTTCAAAAATAAAAATGCTCTGTTCTTCCCCCACTGAAAATTTAGTTTATATTAGAATTAATCTTGAGAATTTCCTCCTCTTTGACTACAGGACAAAGGGAGCAATTAATTTATTTAATATAGTATTCCTTTATATTAGCATTTTCCTAAATATACTAAAGCTTTGAGAGTTTTTTTAAAAGAATAATCTGCTTAGAATTTTTTTGTAAGTACCCAAACCCCAGCTAGCAAGATCAAGCAATAAATCTGACATCCCTTTTTTATATATATACAATCTATCTAGACACAAGCCCAAGCAAAAGAACTTCTTAGTCTTTGTGATGTTTTTTGCTTAGAGGGTCACTGCTAGCTATAGAAATAAAAAAAAAAAACCCAGGTTGCTTTGGTGCTTCTTAATTGCGTGAATACATGTAACAATACTGCAATAAGCTAAAAGACCATGCACAGAATGTATATACAACCTTAATGCTCAGCAAACCAGCCAAAATCAATGTAGATCCTATTTTCATATGCAGAAATCTGCCCAGAGTGCGCACACTAAATCTTAATAAAGCAAACACACATTTATAGCACCAGCATTAGCAATATATGTAAGTGGTATGAAGTACTATAGTAGCAGAAATACTGACAGTTTTGTACTACTTTCTTGC